GGGGGAGGTGGGGAGTCCGGGATGGCCTCTGGTGAGAGTGGGCAGAGAAGTCCCGAAGACACTGGCGGCCCCCGTGGGCAGGGGCCCTCTCCTTTCCACCTCTTCAGGGGATGTGACAGGAAACCCCGTGTCCTCTTTCTAGTCATTTTACAGGGAGAAGGAACTGACTCTCCCACCACCTCCTAATAATTTAAGTATTTCCAAGAAATTTCCAAGAAACTTCTCAGCCGAGGCTCTCGGAAGTTCCTCCACACCCTAACCAATGTCTAGAAAACCAAACCCAGGCAGCGAACATGGGGATTTCTCCCTGGGGTTTGCGTTCAACCTTCTGGCGCACTTGATGAGTCCTGGGCCGCGGGCCTCCGCCAGAAGGCTGTCTCGGGGGAGAGCCCTGTCCGGGAGCACGAGGCAGGAGGGGCTGCTTACCCGGCACCCTGTCCACCGACGCGAACACCGAGCGCTGCACCGTGGGGTCGCTGTTGCCGCGGCGGCTCTGGTCGTAGAAGCGGAAAGGCAGGTGCTGGGCGGACGAGGACGAGCCGAAGCCAAAGCCCAGGACTTCGGGAGTCGGCTGGATCGGGAGGTCCAGGAGGGCTGCGAGCAAACAACACCGCGGTGCGTGCTGGGGGGGGCTGCAGCCGCGGAGGCCCGGGCACGTGGCTGTGGGAGGTGGTGGGCAGGCCGCCGGCCCCTCGAGCTGGCAACACCAGCGTAACAGCAAGGTCCCGCCCAAGGTCAGCACACGACCCGTGTCTGGGGAGGGGTTCAGGGGTGCGGGGCCAGTGTCCACTGGCCCCTCAGCATCCACACAGAGACCCTCGCCCGGCCCCGGGATGGGGTCAGCTCTGCCCTGCAAGTTTACAGGTCCACACAGGTGCTGGGGGAGGGCAGGCGCCAGGCCGCGTGCCAGGAGCACGTGTGCACCCGCGGGTGTCACGTGACAGCCGTCCTCCCTTCCCTAACAAATCTCATGATAAAGCAATTTGGAGGCTTTTTTTTTTTTTAAATCAATATAAGAAACACCCAAGGCGTTAGATCTAACAGCCACTTGACAGCCTAATTCTCAATTTCCAAATGAAATATTTAGCCTTCATGCCAGCTGTGAGAAATAGCTTTACATTTAAAAAAAAAAGTTGAAAATAAATCTTCAAAGAAAGGACTGAATGATTTAAGTCACTTTGCACATTACAAAATGCTTCTGTAATGGTTCTGCGGGCCAAGTTTCAGCTAAGTGGGAAATAAGATGGGCGCGCGGGGGATGCCAGCCGCGGAGGAGAACACAGCCCGCAGGGCGCTGAAACCCAGCCCTCCGCGTGTTTATTTTTGGGTGATCCCTGGGGAAGCGCCCTCCTCCCCCGGCGGGCTGGAAATCCTCCCAGGACCAAGTCCTCCCAGGTGGCCAGTGGGGCTGACCGAAAGGCACTGGCGTCTGCACAAAGACGCTCATCTTTGTAGCTGAGAGGCGTCTCCTCCCCAGCGCCCGCACGGCCCCTGCCTGCAGGCACCCCACCCCGGGAGCCTCCACTGCTAAGGCGCCCGCGACCTGACGCCGGGCCGGGTCGGCTTCCACAGAAATCCACCATGATTCCTGTGAAAGGAAACGCACTTCCGAGTCCGGGCTGGTCCTGGCCACGGCCCAAGCAGCGCCGCCTGAGCGAGGGCCGGGCAGAGCGTCCGAGGCCAGCCCCGGGGTGGCCCGTCTGACTGGGCAGCTCACTCGGCGGCGTGAAAAGGGCAGACCAGGCCCTGCTGATCTGCGGAGGTGTTTTCGCCCCGCGGCGGTGGAGGGAGGTGGCAGTGCCTTGGAGGAAGCTGGGGTGGGCAGCAGTGAGGAACCGCCCCGCGGGCGCACTCACACACTGCGGCCTGGTCTTCCTGCTCTTCCCTGAGTCCTAGAAACTTTCTAGACTCAAACCCTTCTGAGCGGAAGCCCCGCTCTCTCACTACCACGCGTCCACTTCCGAGGAGCCACCGCTCGCTCTCGCGGTCAACGAGAACCACACCGGCGGCCGGCGGCTGTCCCGCCCCCACGGGCTAAGGGGGTGCGCGGCGGCCACTCACCGGCGATCCTCTGCATCTTCATGCGCCGCGCCTGGATGCGGCCCTTGACCAGCCGCTGCTTGGCTATGATGCAGCGGATGTGGTCGGAGAAGATGAAGGTGGCCTGGAGGATGGGGAAGGGCTTGGAGTGGGGGCTGGACGCAGGCTTGTGGATGGTGATATTCAGGGCGCGGCTGTCATCCTCCACGCCCGTCACCAGCATGTCCTGCGGGGAGAGGAGACAGAAAGGCGTCCGTTAGTGTGAGGAGGAGGGACGCCACTCGAGGCTGTGGGGTGCCTGTTTGCCTAGAAAGAGATGGTCCGAGGCCAACTTTGCTTTCGGTCTGAGGAGACGTGGCCTCCTGAGTCTGAGAGGCAGAGACTGGGCAGAGACCAGACCAGGCGGGCGGGATGGGGGCCCAGCACAGCGGGCTCAGGAAGCCGATACTGGTCGTAGAGGCCGGTACCCACCTGTGAGGCCTGGAGCCATTAGTGGATGGTGGCACACCAGCCTCTCAGGGCTCGGGCAATCCAAAGGTCAATGATTCTTCTGAGAAACCAGAGATAATGAATCCAAATCCCTCTGGCCACCTGGCATGACCTGAGATACACTTCGTCGCCTACTGACCCATTTCTTCCTTGCTTCTCCTAAGAAGGGCCATCACTGGTACCCGTTTGTCTGTCTCCAGAGTTCTGGTCCTTGAAGAAGGTTAACCTCAGCACTGGGACAGGGAGGGCCCACTGGGCAGAGTTGAAAAGGTGGGGGAAGAGAATCATAATCTGATTTCAAGTGTAGTATGGATGAACCCAACCAAACCCCCAGGCTGGATTCTATACAAAGAACTTGCTTCCCACTAAGATGGGGAGGGGGGAGGCGGGGGCTTTAAAATAAGTGAAATGGGAGGCAGACACAATATACCAGAAAGTCTAGAGGAGGGGAAAAACAGGTCGATTACAGACTCTTATTCCCAGTCATTAACTGGCGCACAGGCTCTTTGGAAATAATACCTGCGTCAAATGTTGCAGTGGGGACTCACTGAGATATTACGCATTTAAAACGGACAACCTGGCAGGTAGTAATGGCCTGAGAAATAGCCGCTGCTGGAAGACAACCAAAAAAAACAAGCTCACATGGCTTTCATTGTCTGATGGAGGACACATATTAGTCTTTTGAGGGAGAAAAACACTTTCCTGACACTAAATTCTAAAGGAAATTGATCATAAGTCTAGATAAACAAGAAGCACTAAAAGTCACCTAATGGACAGCCTCTTACACGCGTGGGCATCTTCCTAAATGAAAAATTTTTCATAGAGTTGTTTCTCACATCCCCCTAGGTAAAAGATATTATTAAAAAAAAAGCGATTTATTTATTTATGCACACACAGCAACAGGGGTACAAGCCAGAGGTGGAGGGGCGGTGAGAGGACTCACCAGAGACAGAGTGGGGAGCAGAACAGGCAGATTGTCGAAGCACACTGCTGAGGGGAGCAGCGGGCAGATCAGGAGAGGTCTGCTGCGCCATGTGGGTCACTTCCCCTGGCGGGGGATCGAACTCGTGAAGTGGCTGCAGCTAGCTTTGTAGTGCTGTGCTTTAACCTGCTGCGCCACCGGGAGGGCCCAGGAAAGATATTTCTTAAGGGAAAGATCTTGAGAAAGAGATGGCCACAGCCTCCTCCTACATGGGGGGGCGGGCATGGGCCGGCAAGCCAGGGCTGGCCAGCCAGCAGGAGCAGACTGCCTGGGAGCAGGCCAGGAGTGTCTGCGGGGTAATGCCAAGGATGTGGGCGGGAGGCCTGTTCAACCCTTCTGTTTCTAGGCCTCAGTCAATCAACACGCTGGCACTAGTCACTCCAGGTAAACGGGCCGTATGAACTCAGCTCAGCGCTTGGCAATTCAGCACCCAGCCTGCTGGGGAGGGTCAAGGGCCAGGGAATTCTCATAAATGGCTGATGCCAGCGATCACTTTAGAGAGGAATTTGGCACTGTCTGTGGACACTGAAAGTGGGCGGCTCAGACTCCTCGGTATCCGGCTAGGGAAACCCTGGCCAAGTACACAAGGAAGTTAAGCAGGATTCTGTTCCTAGCAGCCTGTTTGTAAAGGTGAAAGAGCCACAGGGCACTGGCTAACCATGGCTTGCTGGACACCTGAACGCCGTCAGCTCCGAGACGAAAAAAGCCAAGTTTAGTATCCATACAGTGTGACTCCCCCAAAACTATACAGACGCACCCCTTGTCAAGTGTATACACACGGTTTTCCAAAGTGGCTCAAGTGGTTGTATTTATAATTTGGCAAAGCACCAGATCTGAACGGCTCATATTGGTAAATGGAGGAGGAAGTTCAGAGAATGGAGGGTTTTGTCAAACAGAACTTGGCCCTTTTCTCTGCGACAGTTTAACTTTTTCAAAGAGAATCTGTTTGCGTTGCCCTAGTTTGTTCAGAGATGCGCTGTAAAGTGATTCTCGGGTGTGGGCGTTTGCAGACAGCTGAGAAGGGCTTCCGGAGTAACTGGGCTCCTTACCTGCAGCAGGCCTGCGAACTTGACCACTCCCCAGCCAAGCCTGGACACGTCCGGCTCCACCAGACTCATCTGGTAAATATCGACAGCCAGAAACCGCTGGACCATGCCGCCGTCCTTGGTGATGACCGTGCAGGCGATCAGGTCGCTGTTGTCTGGGGGGGGAGACAAAAGCAGAGTGAGGTGATGTCCTGCCCTGCGGCTGCTGGAGACACAGGCCACCCGCTATGGGCAGCAGAGCCCAGAGGCCAGAGGTGGGGTGGGGGGAGTCCCCCACACCTGGGTCTGGGTCCCTCCTCGGTGTTGTGCTGGGCATGGTATTTTTTTTTTTTTAAACACCTTTCTGGGCTTCGTGTTCCTCATCTGAAAAATGCGGAAGATGCCCATCCCTCTTGGAGTGAGAAGCTAACATGTCGGGTGTGCAAACGGTAGCTGAAAGAATAACCAACTAGCAGAGAATCCCCTGACACTGCCCTGCTTCCTGGCAGAGCAGGCTGAGATGGTGGTCACCCAACTTCGGTGAAACAGGAAAATACAAGCTGTCCAGCGATGCGGCCCCCCCAACACCCCACGAGGGCTCAGAACCCAGTTCTGCACTAGACAGCGCTGACCCTGGGTGAGGCCCATGTGATTCCACCTGTAACACTGGGAAGTGTCCGAGCCCGGGGTGTCTGGGGTTAAACGAGGACAGGCAAAGCATTTACCGTGGCCCTCAGTATATGCTGGTCACTGCTCTGACTTAAAATTTACCCCGAAATTTTGATGTCTAATTTACAGCCTGTGCTCGATATTATAGAAATCACCCGAGTATTACACAGATGGGCTGCTCGGAATTGCCTTGGATGGAATCTTTTGCTGTACCTGTTTTAAAAGAAATAGCCTGGCCAGGAAACTAACTAAATGCCAACAAATATAGGAATACTCTGAGTAAGATTCCCCTCATTACATGGAAAATCATATACCCATTTAAAAATGATGCTGAACCAACTGTGAACTGTTGGTTACCTAAGGGGAGGGAAGTGAGAAATGTGTATGTGTGTGACCATCAATGGCTATTATGGTGATTTTTTTTTGTCCACTGAATTGCTAGATATTGTTTTAAAAGAGAAAGTTTTCAATTTTCACTTTTGAAATATTTTGAAAGCCCCCAATTTAAAAATCAGATTTATAAACAATGGCAATGACACTAGAAAAAAAAAACATGAAAAATGCAAATGAAAGACAGGATGAGAACTTTATTACTATGCTTTGACATGTTAAAAAAAAAAAATCCCAACAAATGGCAAGAAGAATGGTAGGGGGAATTTTTTTTTTTTAAGCAGCTTTACTGTGGTATAATTTATAGACCATAAAATGCAACATTTTAAAGATACAATTTGAGTTTGAGTAAATTTGCTTTGAACATAACTACATTTCAGCTATAAAACACTTCTATACCGGGTAAGTTCCACTGGGAGCGCTCTCACCGGGTATTTGGTTAAAATTTATGAGTGGTGGTGGGTGGTGGTGGTGGGGGTTAATAACACACAAGGTGTAAATCCTGGCCCCAGACACACATGAGAACAAACTCGGGCCAAGGTGTTCTTCGCGGACTTTCATTTGCTCTAATGATGATGGTAAATCTCTCCCGACCTCTCAGGCACCACCTGCCCCACACGCCTCCGCCTCACCCGCCATAGCCTGATCTGTCTGGGATCCTGGCTTCACAGGAAGTTTCCCGCCCACCTCTCGGCTCTTACAGGCCTTGTGTTTCTTCTCCTCAGTGTCGGACCACCGAGCTGCCGTGGCCGAGATACCCACGGCAAACCCCAGCAGAGATGGGCCACTCTCTGGATTGAACTTCCTGATTATCTCAGGCCAGAATCTCGCTCCCTTTCCCAACAGACCAACCAAGAACTCAAAAAGGTTTCCAAAAAATATTTTTTAGTTCCACCCTGGAAGACACCTAGTCTTCCATGTGACCAGAAATGGAAGTTGTTGTGTCCATTCTTAGAAACATTCTCTTTGTGGTAGGGACGTTATTTTCTTCACTTCAAACACTGTCCTGAAAGGGGATCTCAGGCATGTTAAAAATAGAAAACAAAACAAAACTGGACCCATAAAAAAAACTTTTCCTTTCCTTCTTTCCCTTCCCCTGTCTGCACAGGGCGACTTGGATTTCTTCTGTTCCTGCCTTCACGCATGAGGGTTTGCCTGGGGAAAGAAGGCACAGCCCTGGGGGTTGCTGTCAAGGGGGCCCTTTGGCAGGTAACCCCCTCATAAAGCCCAGCAACCTCAAGGGCTTCAGGGGGGGAAAGACATACCACCTCTACCACAAAGAACAAAAAAAGGAAGGACAAAACCCCAAAGCGGAACAACTTTCAGAAATGCGATTGAGACATCAAAGCCCTGTGAGAACAGCGAGATTTCATAAAAAAAACTAAAAGGCGGCCACCACAGGGAGACCCGGCAGGGAGGCCTGGCTTTCCAGCGGCTCTGGGGCAGTTGAGGAGAATGGAGTGGGCAGCCTCCTTCCTGGAGGTCGAGGGAATGCTGGCTGGGGTGACTCACGAGGAGGGTGGCATTTTAGGGAACTCCTTCACCACCCTGGCGCCCGGCTGCCCCCTCCGCGCCACAAATGGCCAGTCCCGTGGGCTGTCTGCTCACCTCTGGATGGCCAGGGCGCCTGGGGGGGAGGAAGGCCCAGGAGAGACGTGCTGAACGGAATCCAGCTCTGCCCACGGTCTAAGCCCCCGTCTCTGCCTCCAGGTGGGCAAGGGTGGGCTCTGCGTACAGGCACCGGGAGCCATGCTGGGGACCAGGCCCCAGGGGAGGCAGGCACCCAGGGAGACCCCGTGAGGGACAGCTCTTTCACAGTGTGAGGCCTCTGCGGCTTCCCTGCCTGGCACGGATGGTGGCCTGTGTCAGAGGCCAGTGTAGGGGACAGATCATCTACATATGGGCACCCCCATCCCAATCGCCGGGGTCCTTCCTCACGACCTTCACTTTAAAATAGGTGGGGCCTGGCGTGGACACACTCGTCACCTGATGACGGGCGAATGAGCGAAATGTATTAAAACAAAGTTTCATATCGTGTGACGTAGCAACTGGCAGATTCCCAAGGAAAACACACGTGGGCCAAGAGACAGGAACAAGGATGTTGGCGGCAGGACTTGGGTGTGTAATGACCCAAATGTCCAGGAACAAGGGAAAGTTGATACAGTCTCCATTCACGCGGCGCGAGGCCACGTGGCGATCACCAGGACGACTGCGGCCTGGCGGCCGGCCGTGGGCACGTGGCTGAGCGGAGCAGAAGCTGCGGCCAGCACGCGGATGTAAAAACACCTGTGGGGGTGTCCGGCGCGTGCACCCGACTCCCATCTTGGTGGGGTGTGGGCAGGGTCCGCTGATACGCAATGCTTGGGGAGGCCAGAGGGGACACGTCCGTGGTCGTGGTGCCTACAGACGAACCAGAGACGAGCGGCCTCCTCGCCACACGCACGCGCCGAGGGCACAGACGGGGCGGGGAGAGGCGCCAGGCCAGGCGGCCTCTGCCTGATCTGGAAGATGGTGACTGTCCTTGGGACAGGCGGTGGCCGGGAGCTCTGCCAGCAGCTCTGGGCTCCCGGGTGTGGACGCTGCAGCTGGCCAGGGCCCTCCCCCCCACGTCACAGCTGCCCACAGGCTGGACAACTGGGATGGCTACCCGCTCCCGGCTGGTGGACATTCAAGCTTTGCTGCAAGAGGACGGAGCAGGTGCGCGCCGGAGGGTGCGGCACAGGGAGGCGCTTCTGCTCCTGCTGCCTCTCAGGAGCCCTCGTGTTTTTTTTTTTTAAATAATATAATAGCTTATTTTTACATCATTTTGTACATTTTTTTTTTCATCTCAATTGTAATCCCCGTGGGTTTCCCATCACCGAGTCAGTCACCCAGCCCACCGAGTCACTTAACGGCAGAAGAAATTTCCTATTATCACCGTGAATGGGGAACCAATAACAAAAAAATAAGATGAAGGGAAAAGCAAAAAAAGCAAATTAAAAAGTTTTTTTTTTTTTTTTTTTTTTTTCCAAATTAAAGCCTACTGCTATAAGAAGGGAGACCCAGGAGTCAGAGGCCTTCTGAGACAGACTGGTACCGACCCGACACTCGCCCCGTCACAGGAGCAGCGGGCACCGACATGGCTCTTCTGTGCACTGTGCCTCCCCAGGGTGGCCACAGAACACCCCCACCTACATGCTCCGCGTGACTCCAGCCCGCTTCCCATCAAGGGTGGGGTCTATATCCTTTCCCCTTGAACCTGGGTGGGGCTGAGATTGCCCAGACCAAGAGTGGCGGTGACCCCAGGGGGTTGCTAAGTCAAGGTCGCGCCATGTTCCCGGAATGTGCCCCCCATGCGTGGGAAGCCCGAGCCGCCCTGGGACACCCACAGAGAAAGCCAGGCCGAGGCCTGCAGGCCTTTGTCCGGCTGAGCCACTGCGGCCGATGCCTTGTGGAGCAGAGAACTGTATCTATAGAGCCCCAGCACATCATGTGTCTGTGAGCAAAATGAGACTGTAGCTGTCTTAAGGCGCTAAAATTTAAGGCAGTTTCTTACTCAGCACCGGAGCACTGCAACAGTGACTTCCGGTGGCTTAGCGTAACGAGCGTGTCCAGGCACACTAGGCTCTAAAGCCGTGCGCCACTCCCGGCCTGCGGACACAGCACAGGGCTGGCAATTTTGGAAGTCTGAAAGGTCCTGTGGTGCTTGGCAGGTTTAAGATGGTGGCAGAGGACCCTCCCTGTGGCTCAACAGGCGAGGACGCAGCACCGCAAGCTGGCCACAGCCACTTCAGTGCGAGTTCGATCCCCGGCCCGGAGGTGACCCACGGGCGCGGCAGACCTCTCCTGACCCGCCGCTGCTCCCCTCAGCAGTGTACTTTGTCCATCTGCCTGTTCTGCTCCCCACTCTGTCTCTGGTGAAGCCTCTCACTGCCCCTATGCCTCTGGCTTGTACCCCACTTCTCTATGCATATAAAAAAAAAAGATGGTGGCAGAGAGGAGAAAGGTGAAAATGTTTCTTTAGAGGAGAAAGGGAAGAAGGTGAAAAGCCACCTTGCGATGAAGTGCGGCTCCGGGTAACCTGGGCTGGACAGCAGCTTGGGCGGGAGGCCGGGAGCTGGGGGGCCCGGGGCTCAGA